TGACAATTGTCACTTTTCTACGGTACATCTTCACTGAAATTTTAATTTAACATTTTTACAATATATATTTTTACCGATTTACTTTAAAAAAAATTCAAAAAAACGATTTCAATTTCATTTTAGTATATTTACGATTTATTTAACAAAAATAATTTGACAATTTCACTTCTCTATGGTACATCTTCACTGAAATTTTAATTTAACATTTTTACAATATATATTTTTACCGATTTACTTTAAAAAAATTCCAAAAAGTTCAAAAATAACGATTATGACAATTGTCACTTTCTATGGTACATCTTCACTGAAATTTTAATTTAACATGTTTACAATATATATTTTTACCAATTTGCTTTAAAAAAATTCAAAAAACTTTAAAAATAACGATTATGACAATTGGCACAATGGTACATCTTCACTGAATTTTTAATTAAACGTATTTACAGCCAATATTTTTACTTATTTGCGTCGAAAAATTTGAAAACTTTGGAAATATCGATTATGACAATTGTCACTTATTTAGGGGAAATCTTCACTGAAATTTTAATTTAACATATTTACAATCTATATTTTTACCCATTAGCGTCAAAAATAAACTAATATGTTTTAAAATACAGATTATCATATTTGTCATTTTTACAAAGAAACATCATCATTGAATTTATAATTTAACATTTAATATAATTATATTTTTACCCTTTTGTACCAAAAATTTCAAAAATGTTAAAAAATATCATGACAATTGTCACATTAAAATATTATAAGACGATCATGTAAAATAACATAAAAATTTAATATAAAAATTTATAAATTATTTAAACTAGTTCTTTTAATATACTAAAAAAAATAGATAATTTTACAAAAAATGATAAAAATAAACACATAAAAGATTTCAACTAAAAGATTAATAATTCACAAAATAATTAATTAAAAAAGAAGATTTTAAATTCTTATCAATTCACATTTTGCTTAAATTTTTTGCATGAAAACCACAAATTAATTGTAACAAAAATAATATTATACAATACCTATTCGAAATATTCGTCCTCTAGTCGACTTGAGTTCATGACTCGAGTTGACTGGAGTTCACGATTCGAGTCGACTTGAGTTCACGACTTCAGTGAGTCTACTAATTAGACTAACGACTCAGACTCTGAGTCAGTGTCGGGTGAACTCGACTTTTTAACAACACTACTTTAGAAAGTATATCATCTCTCATTGTTTCTCTTTCAATTTCGCTTGCATTTAAAGGTGTTTCTCCCACCTGTATTTGATCTAGCGCTTCTTCTTTTGATATTGGAGTACCCTTTAGGGGTAATCTAGATAGCATGTCAGCATTTGCTTTTGTCTACTACTTTTGACTCTATTTCATATTGATAACCGGCTAATAATAAAGCCCACCTTTGTAATCGGGCAGTTGATGTTGTGGGTATATCTTTTCTTGGATGAAATAAAACCATTAATGGCTTGTGATCTGTTTGTAATGTGAATTTTTTTCCATATATAAATTCTTTGAATTTGGTAACCCCGAATATGATGGCAAGTGCTTCTCTTTCAATTTGGCTATAATTTTTTTCAGCTGCATTTAGTGTTCTTGAGGCGAATGCAATTGGTCTCTCCTTACCCCCTTCTATATGTGATATTACTGCCCCAATTCCTATAGATGATGCATCTGTTGCTAATATAATGGGTAATTTTGGATCATAATATTGTAATATTGGAGTACTACTTATTTCTTGCTTTATTTTTTTATACGCATCTTTGCATTCATTAGTCCATTTCCAAACAACTACTTTTTCTAATAATTTGTATAATGGTTTGGCTTTGGCTGCAAAATTCGAAATAAATTTTGAATAGTATGTTGCTGACTCTAGAAATGACTGTAATTGTTTCAAATTTGTTGGTTCTGGTACATTTTTTACTGCCTCAGTATTTTTTTCGGTAGTTGTAATTCCGTTTTTTGAAATATTGTGTCCTAAGTATTCGACATTTTGTTTGAAAAAATTACATTTTTCTATTTTTAGCTTGATTCCATTTTCATCTAGACATTTTAGTACTTTTTTTAAATTTGTTTCGTGTTTCTCTCTATTTTTCCCGGTTATTATAATATCATCTAAATAACAAGCTACTCCTTCAAAACCTTTTAATAAATTCTCGATGGCTCGTTGAAATATTGCTGGAGAAGACGATATATTAAAAGGTAGTCTTGTATATTTAAATAATCATCTATGCGTATTGATTACAAGATATTTTTGAGACTCTTCCTGAAAATAGGCATCTGAGAGATCCAATATTGAAAATTCCTCTCCTTTTCCCAAATTGGCTAATAAATCTTGGATTCTTGGTATTGGATATGAATCAATATTAATATTTTGATTTATAGTTCTTTTAAAATCCCCGCAAATTCTTAATGTTTTATCTTTCTTTTGAACAATTACTATGGGTGATGCATAAAGTGAATGATTAATTTTCTCTAGTACTCCTATTTTTTGCAATTTATCTAAATCTTCTTCAACTTTATCTTTTAATGTGTATGGTACGGGACGTGATTTACAGAAAATTGGTTTCTCGTTTTTCATATATATTTGTACCTTATAATCTTTCAAGCAGCCTAATTCTTTGGTAAATAATTGAGGAAATTCATTTTGTATATTAATATTATTTATTTGTCCTTTCAGGTAATTCAGTCATTTTGGGAAATTTAATTATTTAATTTCTTCCAATTAGATTTTTGGTATATCCTTTTGTAATTATGAGAGGTAGTTCTAATGTTCGCCCTTTATATTGTACTTTTGCTACAGTTTGACCTAATAGTGGTATATTGGTTCCTGTATAACTTAAGTTTTAACATGCAATTTGTTAATTCAGGATGATTAAGTGTATTTTTCCAATCTATTTCGTTAATTATACTGACTCCAGCTCCAGTATCCAATTCCATTCTTATATCGCTGTTGTTTATTTTGACATCCACCCTAAATTCTGGATTATATTCGTTTGTTTTATTATTAATAAAATTCACTATTTCTTTTCTACAGACTCGAGCAATGTGCCCAATTTTGTTGCATTTATAACAAGTGGCATTCTTGAAAAAACAATTTTCCCTTCTGTGGTTTCCGCCGCAGGAGTAGCATGGATTTGGTTTTTTGTAGCTCGCATTATAATTATTATATGATTTTAATTGTTTATCATTATCATTAGTATTATATGATTTTGTTTGTTTATCATTATCATTATTAACTTTTTTAATTTTATTTATATTATCATTATGTTCCTCTTCTAAATGATCGATTTTAGTTTCATCATTTTGTATTAATTTTGTATTTTTTATTGCTGTTTCTACTGCAGTAGCTATCTGAATAGCTTTATTTATGTCTATATCGTCTTTGGATAGTAATCTTTCTAAAATTTTTGGATTTTTTATTCAGAATATAAATTTATCTCTTAATGCAGTATTTAAATATTCCCCAAAATCACAAGTCGTTGCTAATTTTCTTAGATTTTGTATATAGTCTATTAGTTTTTCATCATTTTGTTGATTATATTGATAAAAATTATATTTCTACTATTATTTTAGGTTTAGGATGAAAATGCTTGATTAAAATATTATGTATTTATAATACCTCTTTGTTTCCCGCACATAAATTTACCAGTATTTTGTACGTATCACACCCTATTGTTGTTAATAACAGAGATTTTTCTTGTGATGATGTTAAACTTGGTTGTGTGTTTTTAAATTCTTGAAATAAGTTGTACCAATCTTTGTAACACAGGTTTGAATCCGTTAGACTTTTTATAGACTGCGCCATTTTTGTAATGTATTTTAATAGTAAACGAGTTTTTCTTATCCTTTTATTTTGTAATTAAAAAATCCAAATCAGCCTTTATTTTTCAAATTAATTTCGAAATATATAATAATAATAAAAATAAACATTTTACAAAAAATAACAAAAAACAACAATTTAATACACATCAATGACGGTATTTTACTTTGGAATGGCAGATTAATCATTCCGTACTCACTTCAAAAAAGAGTTTTGCATATATTGCATACGGGACATCCGGGTATTATAACAATGAAATCCATTACGAGACATTATATATGGTGAGAAAAATTAGATAAAGATGTCGAAAAACTAGTAAAGTGTTCTTCACTTAACAAAACGATTGGTACAATAAAAAAAGAAATATTGTTATTGATCTTTTAATTAATTATGATTTTTCTTTAGTTTGTAACAAAAATTTTTAATTTCCTTAATCCACCCGCCCATTGTTTAAATTTCGCAACCCACCCGCCCGCCCGCCCTAAGTTTCAAATTTTTTTTAACTCGCCCGTTCGCCTGCCCATTCTCAAAAATTTTTTTTGCCCGCCCACTTAGATGGGCGGGTGTGGGTGGGTGGGCCGAAACTCCGCCCAATGCAGACCTCTAGTTTGTGGATTATATATTAAAATAAATTTTAATATTTCTAAATTATCATATTTCATCCTTTTTTTGCAACTATTTTATTATGACACTCAAAAACTACCAATGTAAGAGCTTTATCTTTCATATACAATGTAAATAAATGTTTTTTATACTTTATCGCATTATTAGAGTTACCTAGTCTCCAACACTCTAAACCAATGGCGCTGAAGCCCCTTATGATAAAATAAGAATAATTAAATTATAAAATATATACTATGTATGTTGACTAAGAAGGTACCCCCGAGATTTCAATGACACTTTTGATTCCTACACTTATGTGTTAGAAGGTCCTGTCTTAGCCTTTATTTATTATAGATCTTTAACCCCACTTTCGAAATTGAGTTAGGATTTAGACCTAATCTTCGGGGGTTCTCTTCAACCCTTTACATTAAAAAAATTAATTGTAATTATATTTTTTTTATTCAAATATAGTTAATGTTGTTTATATAGTGATAACCAAATAGCTTCTTTTAAACACTTTACTGCAAAATTTATAGAATATTTATAAATAAATTTTAATCTACGTGATATATACAGAATGGTGACTTATGCATATCAATTTTACATCCACCCGTTTCAGATCCGCAAAGTGGGGAAGATCCTTCTGAGAGATGGAATCCTACGCAAAACGTTAGGTAAAAAAAATAAAGAAATTTATTTAAGCAAGCATATATTTTTATACTCTTAATTATTATTCGTTAGAACGATTTTATTGAGCGTAATTTCTCTCCTCAACGAACCTAACACATTCTCTCCGGCCAACGTTGACGCTTCTGTTATGTACAGAAGGTGGAAGGAATCCAAAGGTGTCGATAAAGAATACGAAAATATTATTAGGTAAAAAAAAGGAGGGTTTCTTTTAAAAAATAAAACTGTTGAGATCAAGGATATAAATATATTTGATAATACTTAAAAGAAAAGCATATTAAATTTATATACATTACATATACATCGTATTAGAATATACACTAAGTTCTTTAAATAATTCGAATTCATGATCTAGCTCGCACATCGTTGCTGGACCATCATAAGAATACTAGTCGCCGCAACTACAAAATTTTTAATTTTATCATATTATTTCATGAGTTTATGATTGATATAAATTAACTACTAAATTTTGGAGGAGCTTTTTGGGGGTAATTTTTAGTGATTCTTAATTAAAAATATTTTGCTAAATTTAATCCTGAGTTGTTAAAGTAGCGCGCTTACTTTTTTGGTAGCTATAGCTAATAGCGGCTACTTTTTTTGTAATTATTTAATTTTTTAGCGCGCTACTTTTTTTGAAAGTAGCTAAGTAGTCGCTACTTATAAAAAATAGGTAAGTATAAACATGAAAATTTAAATATAATATCATAATTAATTATAATTTTTATGATTTATTATTTAATTTTGAAATTGAAATATATTTTCAATTTGTAATTTATATTTTCATTTGTATTATAAACCTAAATCATGTGTTAATATTTAAAATGTCATCGCATCGCCTATGGATATCCAAATCGTTGAAAGTGATTCAGACAATGATATTAATGAAATGGAAGATACCAGGGAAGAAATGCTCTAAATAGCTATAATACAAATTTGAAATTTCCCATTCCCTAGATTTGAATTTTTTTTAAAATAAACATATAATTCAAAACTGGCTTCAAATTTATTTGTTTATAACCTCAAGAAAACCTAAAGGTAAATTGTCATTTTTACATTCTCATAATCTATTTTTAAGACTGTTCATGAGTTTTAAGGAAATGGAGAAACATCTAAATAATTTTGGTATAGGCGACTACATCCAAAAATACTAATTCAATTCAAACCAAAAATTAATAATGATGACAAAATTTCTCAGAAATTGGCTGATAAAGTTATTCTTGATTTTATAATTTATACAGTTCAGCCAATGTCCTTGGTTGATAATCCATCATTTACCATGATGATTAAAACTATCCCCTCAACGATTTTATGCCGCCAGACACTAATGAATAAAATAGCAGATAAATTTAAAATGATGAAAGATGCTCTAATAGTAGAGTTATCAGAGATATCATATATATGTACCACGGGAGATAGTTGGACACATAACAGAAGGTAAAAACTTATTTATATTTATAAATTGATCTGATTAAATATTTTTGAGCTTATTTGGGAATCACAATCACAGGCCATTGGCGACCCTAGGACTTTAAAAAGAAGATCTGTGGCATTAGCCCTCAAAATGATAATAGGATGCCAGACATACGATGTACTTGCAAATAAAATTATTGATAATCGATCTTATATTAAAAATATGTATATAAGATTAAATACGCCCTTACCCTCTAGTGTCGAGAGATTATTTAGTAAGACAAAACTTATACTTTCTGATCGTCGCTCTAGACTTGGGGATGATAATATTGAAATGATTTTATTATTAAAATGTATCAAATTACATCATAAATATTTATTTTTATTACATAAATTTTTTTATAATTAAAACTAACTATATTTTAATATTTATAAATGTTGATTTTTATATATTTACTATACTAATAACATTATAAGCAAAAAATAAAAAATTTGTTTGTAAATTTTTTTTATAAAAAGTAGCTTAAAAAGTAGCTAAAGCTACTTTTAAAAAATAGTAGCTAATAGCGAGCTACTTTTTTTGACAAATAGCGATAGCGGTAGCGCGATACTTTTAAAAAGCGTTTAACAACTCTGATTTAATCGTAATATGAAAAATATTATCTCAAAATGAATATGGATATATCAACCAGTTTAATATCTGAGTTTTACAATTTGTAAATTTTTAATTGGTATCCTACTTTGTACCTATTCCTTATTGTGAGTTATTAATTTTACAGTTAATAAATGGCATCCTTCTTGCCCACCCTGAAACATATTTTTCAGGTCTATAAAGTTTTTTAATTGTTCAACCGATCTCGCCACATTTTTATCAAGATTTGATCAAGCCCGAACTCAATTTTTATGTCTACGAAAAAAATAAGTTATGGAAATTTTAACAATTTATTTAGTTCTCAAGAAAGGCTGGAAGATTATAAGCTCTCGAGAAAATAAGAAATATAGCTTTGCCCTATGGTCCAGACCTAGAAAGCTTTTGTTCGAGTCTGGTTCGGTCCTTATGACGATTATGAAATCAATGTTAGGCAGCATCATCTGATTCAGGCACATCTGCTTCAAGACTACTAATAAAGATACATTAGATTAAGAATTAAATTAAAATAGAATCTATGTTAATTTGATATAATTTACATATATATGCCGTATAAAGACACCAAGTAAACGCCACAAAATCGGAAGCCGAAAAGGATAACGTAGTTGTTCCCTTGACACAAGAAGAATGGTGTATGAAAATTAAACCAAAAATTCGTCACCATGGTGAATTTTCTTCATCTCATTTTTCGCACACATCTATCATCTCCGTGTCAGCTGATGGGAATCCTAATTCCAGCCCTTTACCGCCACCCCCACTCTATATGTCCAGCCTGGACCATGCGGATTTTTACATTGATGATGATGGGTAAAATATTATTTTATTTTTTTCTCTAATCATTGGTATCTTTTTCCTAATATATGTGTTTCTTTTTATGTTTTTTATTTTTTGATATTCAGTAGTGTTATTAAATAATCGAGTTCATTCGACTCTGACTTGGTAGTCGTTAGTCGACTAACTTAGTTCAGAACTCGAGTCATGAACTCGGGGATAAGTAGTTCATAATTACCTTTAATTAACAGATTACTAAAATTTTTATTTTCGTTTTTTTTAGATAAAATTAATGTGGGAAGACTCTCCTAGCTAATTTGTTAGTTTTACCCCCATTTTCCGTATAATCCGTTTTTCGATAAAAATCTTGATTTTTAATGTGAACTCTAGCAGTATTGTTAAATAGCTCGATTTTTAAACACGGCTAACTCAATATTTTATCCAAAAAATATTATGCAAGCCTCGAGATTTTACTCACAGAAGGTAAGAAAGGTTTGACCATCTAAAACGAAATCTCAAGGCTTGCATATTTTTTTTTGGCTAAAATATTGGGATAGTCGTTTTTAAAAATCGAGCCTTTTAACAACACTACTAGCAGTTTAATTAAACATTAAAATCAGATAAAAATATCTAAATAATTTAGATTTAAAATCCTTTAATTAACCAATCATTTTGCTTTTCCCAAATGTACAAATTATAAAAAAATACTTAAAATACAAGCTTTTACAACAAAACCTGTAAAATTTTTGCTTCACTCTTCTTCTTTATCGTTTATTGGCGGTTTTCCAGGATTACCCGGGTGACCTAGTATCCCCTCTGATCCCTTTTCTGCACTTTTTGCAGTTTTGGGCGTCGTTAATTGTAAGAATTGTTTTCATGTCATCCGTTATCTCTTTCATCCACGTCTTCGTTGGTCTTGATCCTATTACCTCCATCGAAGTGCATCTCTTAACCCTTCACTACAAAGGTAGGGTAAATACGACCCCACAACTTTTATAATCTTTAATGACCTAGAAGATATTTCGACTTGGTTTTTTCAGTAGTTTAATATTTTGTAACAAGGAATACAACTTCCAAATTTCATGATTATTGATTTGATAGTTTTTGAGATATATGCAATTTGTTGAGCTTGGGGTAAAATATACTCCACCTATGTAATCACGTAATTTTTTTTTAAAATCCAATTTTTTTTGTTACTAATTATGTTTATGTATGTCAGGTTAATAAATATAATTGGAAAAAATATAATTATTTTTGTTTGATTGATATATATGACTCTAAATTTAAAAATATTGTATTATTTATTTTTTCGGTGGATTAAAAAATCATAAATTTAACATATGATTTTTAATTTGAATTATTCTAGTGAAAGTAATTCATTTATATATATTTTATATAACAATTACATATGTGAAATAGATTGTGAATCAAGTGATGATGATTATTTATTAGATAGCAATCACAATTCAGAAACTGAGTAAGATGATACAGAGAGTGATAAAGAGGGAAAAGAAAATAATAATTATTTTTATAGTTTAATATTCTAGTATTATATAATTTATATTATAAATTTAGGTAAAGATGGCCTGACTAAATGGAGTAAGGCATGTTTTCCCCAAAAAAGAACCAGATCTCTTAACATTATTTCTAGCTTGCCAGGTGTAAAATCAAATGTAAAAAAAGCAACTTCACTATTAGAATGCTATAAATTATTTATTACACCAAATATTACAAATCTGATAATAAAATACACAAATCAAAAAATACAATATCATAATTCAAAAATTCTCTCTTCTTCTAATGTCAAAATTGATGTAATTGAATTAAATGCATTGATAGTTTTATTATTGATTGCAGGTATATATAAATCTAATCATCGGAATTTAAGAGATCTATGGAGTAATGATGGATTTGGAGTGAATGTATTCAGGTATACTATGAATATTAACCGATTCCAATTCTTATTGAAAATGCTAAGATTTGATATGTATACAAGGGAAATAAGGCACAAGATAAAGCTGCACATATCAGAGATATCTTTAATAATTTTAATGAAAACTTTAATAAATGCTATAGTGTTGGGCAATACGTTACAATTGTAGAAATGATTCCATTGAGGGAAATGTCCCTTCAAGCAATACATGCCAAATAAGCCATCAAAATATGGCTTAAAAATTTATGCTCTCATGGATTCAAGAACATTCTATACTTTGAAAATAGAATTATATGCTGGCAATCAACCTTAAGGACCATATAAATTGAGCAATAAGCCTTTTGATGTGGTTGAAAGATTAATTCAGCCCATTTCTAAGAGTAATAGGATGTCACCACAGATAACTGGTTTACCAGTTATGAACTTGCTAAACATTTTTTAAATTCCCATTCATTAACAATAGTATGAACTTTAAGAAAAAATATAAAGCAGATTCCAACATTTAATTTTGAAAGATATTTATTCAAGTTTATTTGCCTTCCAATATAATATGACATTAGTATTGTACGTACCAAAAAAAGTATAAGCATGCTATTATGCTTTCTACCCTTCACTATGATAACAATATTGATACATCAACTGGGGATTTGTAAAAACCAGAAATTATCACATTTTACAATCTCACCAAGGCTGGTGTTGATGTTGTGGATCAGTTATGTTCAAATTATTCAATATCCAGAATAACAAATAGATGGCCTATGGCAATTTTCTATAATTTGTTGAATATATCTTGCATAAATTCTCTAATAATTTATAAATCCAATAATCTAAAGGAGATTAATAGATCAAAGTTTATAAAATTATTAGCAATGGAGCTAATAACTCCATTAATGAATAATAGATACGAAAACCCACATGTTAATAAACTGCTAAGAGATAATATTGGGAATATGCTTAATATAGAGGAATTAAAACCTATATCAACCAAACAAAAAGGAAGGTGCTCATCTTGTCCAGGGGTTGGGGACAAGAATTCCTCATTTATTTGTTCAAATTGTTCAAAATTTATATACAAAGATCATATGTATATAACATGTCGTGAATGTTTTTTACAAAAAATGCATGAACTTTAAATATCAAATATTTTTTTTAATATCTGATGTTTTATTATAAAATTTATTTAATTATTACTATAAAATATTGAATTAATAAAATATATAATCAAATTTGCTTCCTTTCATTTATTTTTGTTCATATATTATGATTAAAGAAACTTCCAAAAAAAGTTTTTTTTTGAGCAGCTTTAGTTATATACCATAACTTTATTTATAAATAAATAGAAATCTAGAAATTTTGTATTTATTATCTCTAATATTTTTACAATAAGTGTGTAAAATTTTAGGTCTTAAATTTTATTATTTTCTGAGATATAGCTATTTAAAATTTGGGGTCCTATGTACACTATAGGTTTTAATTCCTCTATATTAAGCATATTCCCAATATTATCCCTTAGCAGTTTATTAACATGTGGGTTTTCGTATCTATTACTTATTAATGGAGTTATTAGCTCCGTTGCTAATAATTTTATAAACTTAGATCTATTAATCTCCTTTAAATTATTGGATTTATAAATTATTAAAGAATTTATGCAAGATATATTCAACAAATTATAAAAAATTGCCATAGGCTATGTATTTGTTATTCTGGATATTGAATAATTTGAACATAGCTGATCAACAACACCAACCTTGGTGAGATTGTAAAATGTAATAATTTCTGGGTTTTTTCAAATCCCCAGTTGATGTATCAATATTGTTATCATAGTGAAGTGTAGAAAGCATAATAATATCATCTTGGAAGGCAAATAAGCTTGAATAAATATCTTTCTTTTTAAAATTAAATGTTGGAATCTGCTTTTTATTTTTTCTTAAAGTTTCTACTATTGTTAATGAATGGGAATTTAATAAATGTTTAGCAAGTTCATAACTGGTAAATCAGTTATCTGTGGTGGCATTCCTATTACTCTTAGAATTGGGCTGAATTAATCTTTCAACCACATCAAAAGGCTTATTGCTCAATTTATATGGTCCTTCAGGCTGATTGCCAGCATATAATTCTATTTCCAAAGTATAGAATGTTCTTGAATCCATGAGAGCATAAATTTTTAAGCCATATTTTGATGGCTTATTTGGCATGTATTGCTTGAAGGTAAATTTCCCTCTAAAAGCTGGAAGCATTTCATCAATTGAAACGTATTGCCCAACAATATAGCATTTATTAAAGTTTTCATTAAAATTATTAAAGATATCTCTGATATGTGTACCTTTATCTTGTGCTTTCCTTATCTCCCTTGTATACATATCATCAAATCTTAGCATTTTCAATAAGAATTGGAATTGGTTAATATTCATAGTATACCTGAATACATTCATTCCAAATCCATCATTACTCCATAGATCTCTTAAATTCTGATGATTAGATTTTCAATAAAAAACCTATCAATGCATTTAATTCAATTCCATCAATTTTGACATTAGAAGAAAAGGGGATTTTTGAATTATGATCTTCTATTTTTTGATTTGTACATTTTATTATTAGATTTGTAATATTTGGTGTAATAAATAATTTATAGCATTCTAATGGTGAAGTTGCTTGTTTTGCATTTGATTTTACACCTGGCAAGCTAGAAATAATGTTATGAGATCTGGTTCTTTTTTGGTGAAAACATGCCTTACTCCATTTAGTCAAGCCATCTTTACCTAATTTTATAATATAAATTATATAATACTAGAATATTAAACTATAAAAATAATTATTATTTTCTTTTCCCTCTTTATCACTCTTTGTATCATCTTCCTCAGTTTCTGAATTGTGATTGCTATATCTAATAAATAATCATCATCACTTGATTCACAATCTATTTCACCTATGTAATTGTTATATAAGATATATAAAAATGAATTACTTTCACTTAAATTAAAAATCATATGTTAAATTTATGATTTTTTACTCCACCGAAAAAATAAATAATATAAAATTTTCAAATTTAAGGTCATAATATATATCAATCAAAAAATAGAAATAATTATATTTTTCCCAATTATATTTATTAACCTGACATACATAAACATAATTAGTAACAAAAAATAGATTGGATTTTAAAAAAATATTACGTGATTACATAGGTGGGGTATATTTTATCCTAAGCTCAACAAATTGCATATATCTCAAAAACTATAAAATCAATAATCATGAAATTTGGAAATTGTATTCCTTGTTACAAAATATTAAACTACTGAAAAAACCAAGTCGGAATATCTTCTAGGTTTTGTATTACAAAGATTATAAAAGTTGTGGGGTCGTATTTACCCCACCTTTGTAGTGAAGGGTTAATTGTTGTTTTATATATATGTAGCGCCATGCATATAAAATAAAAAACATAAATATAATAAATGTCAAGGGATAGGTTCTAAATCGCTAAAAATTTGAAATCTTTTTGTAATAATTGTACAAAATATCTTCAAAGAAGATTTTTAAGCAAGATCTATCTAGAGACCAACATCTTCCTTTTAGTCCTGAGTTCGAAAATATTGTAATTTAAAAATATAAAAAGCATTTTAATTTTTGTATTAATACTAATTGTCCTAATCCTAGAAAAATTCTAATTTTTCCTTTACTTGGAAAAAAAGATGATTTTTCGAATCGTTGCATTAGTCGTTAAGCAGTAAATAATCGCTCGGCTAACTAGCATACTATTTTTTGGGGGTATTTTTAAGTCTTAGGTCGACCCGATTAAAATTTTTTTAACCCGGAGCTGAGTTGCTTGCAGGGCTTTGTTATCTAACCCAAAAAACGTTATTGCCTTTTGCTGCTTCTTTACTTTTGGTAAATAATTTGTATTTGTAATAACATTACTCATCCGAACCTCAGGTCTGTGCTCGGGTTTTGTGCAGAGCTGGTTTAATCGATTTTAAGACGTAAACTCCGCGTCTGGGTTTTATACAACCAACCAATTAACAACACTACTATAAACTAATAAATTTTATCGAAATATTTTAGGCCCGCCATTATTTTTAAATAATTTTGATTTTCATTTTTGAATAAAACTTACGAATTATATCCTTAATCGTTTTTTTATAAATAAAATTTAAAAAAATTCCCCAAAAACAATTGAAATAACGAACCCTCCAGACAAAATAAAAATAATACATTTTTAAAAACAATTTAAAAAAATATAATTTTCAATATTTTGCAACATGTATTATTATTATTTTTTATTATATATTCACCAGTTTAAATAATATTATTTTGGTTATAATCTTAATTTCATTGCCCATGTGAAAAACAATCACGCGAGAGAATAGATGGTTTGCCCTCAGACCCAATTTTAGAAACACTATGTATTAAAATCTAATTAATTTGTAGCTTTCATGTTTTAAAAATATATTAAATAAACTATATATTAGTTATTTTAACTGTTATTTTATCATTATGACAGCTTTTGTCAAGGGAGTCAAAAAAGTGACAAATTATTTTTAAATGCCTCAATGGTATATAAAAAATATATAAATAAAATTGATAAAAGTTTTTATTTATAATAAATTTATCAATGTCAAAACAGGTGAAAAGATGTTACATGTGAACAGGTGGGGTCTATGTGACACCAAGCTCCAATAAACTCATAACTCTTGAACCAATGAAAAAAATTAAAATTAATTTTACACACATACATAACTTTATCTAAAAATGTTAAGCTACTAAAAGATTTAGGCTAAAATATCGAAAGAATTTGAAGTAATAACTTTTTTAAAATGATTGGTCTCCATAGTTACACCTGTGCAATGAAGGTTTAAAAATTAACCCAATCGAACCTTTTGACATTAGTTAAAGAAAGCCTTTAATCTTATTCTAAAAATTTGAAGAAATAAATTAAATTGCTTTTCAAAATAATAATTTGGACAAAAAATTAAAAATAAACAAATTGCTTGTTGAATTTATTTATTCTTTATATAAATGGCGCCACATATCTAGAAAATAATAATTAATAAAATTATGAAAAAAGGGAAATTTATTTTTTTTGTTTTTTAAATACTTTAATTTTTTACGTTCAATTTTCGTATATTTCAAAATTGATTTTAGGAGATGTTATAAATATAATATCCTGAATATTTAATTTTTCCTATTTTTATTTAGCTATAACTATATTTGCAAATCAAAATATTCACTTTTTAAAATAAGCTCTCATATCAGTAATTTTTATTAAGAACCGACTACGACATTGGGATTGGGGGGGGGGGGTATGACGTAATATCGTTATTTAATATCCTGAATATTTAATTTTTCCTATTTTTATTTAGCTATAACTATATTTGCAAATCAAAATATTCACTTTTTAAAATAAGCTCTCATATCAGTAATTTTTATTAATAACCGACTACGACATTGGGATTTGGGGGGGGGGGGTATGACGTAATATCGTTATTGAAATTAGATGATGCAGGTTTTGGGCATCTATTAATGAAATCTTGAGACTTCTGCGATATTTCCCTGTGTACATTTAGGCAAATCAAAATGATTGGTTAAATAAAGGTGTAAATCTAAATATTATTGTTATTCGATTTTTTAAACGACTCGAGTTCACATTAAGAACCAAATGGCATTTATACAAAAAAAAAATTAGCTAGACAAGTCTTTCGGATTCTTAGTATCTATTTCAAAAAAACGAAAATAGAAATTAATAATAATTTAAGGTAATTGTGAACTACTCGTCCTTTCACCACTCGAGTTCATAACTATTGTTTAGGAACTGAGTTCACAACTCGAGTCAGTTTTAGGTCGATTTTTTCGACCCAAAAATTGGCTTCAGTTTTCGGCTGCTAGACTTATTCGATTAAAAACACTAATTTTATTTTCTTTTAACTAATTTTTATGTCTTCTTTTAATACCTTTCTTAATTCCGATCTTTTCCATTGACGATATATAAAATAATTTATTTGTTTCTATTGTTTAAGATAACTCCAGTCTCTATCCTCTTCTTACTTTTTGTTTGGCTAGTTTTATAACTTATCAAATCCATAATACCGTTTATTTGATTCTTTCTATTGTTTATAAATAACTCCATTCTCTATCCTCTTCTTCCTTTTTTCCGTTTATTTGTTTCTTTCTATTGTTTATAAATAACTCCATTCTCTATCCTCTTCCTTTTTTTGGCTAGTTTTATAACTTATCAAATCCTTAATACCTCCCCCTTCTAATAATGAGGAAAGAAAATGTAAAGCTAAAGGAAACAATAAGGTTTTGAAATTAGACTTAGAAAATTATATTATCATACTATTTAAACACCAAAATACTATTCACAAATTTTAAATATTTTGTTTTTGACGTCTTTGTCACGCAGATTTGATGATGACGAAGAGGATGAAGAAGACGACGGCACTGCTATGACTTCCTCTGCATCTTCGTCCGAAGACGAGCGGCGCAGGCGCAGACCCGTTATCATAGCCACTTCCAATCTCGAAAGTGTAATCACTACACAAATAGATAGCGCTAATAACAACGGTGGAGAAAATAGATCCATTATATGATTTTAAAAATTGATCATTTATTAAAAATTTCAAATTTTTTATTTATAATGTAATTAAAATTGGAAAAGTTTAAAAAAATGAATTTTGTAATATGTGTTCCTATTACTTTTATTTTACATAAAATTAATTTTTGATTAATCTTGAAATTAATTGTGTATATTAATCAAGAAAATATTATTTATTTATTTCTGATATTTAATTTTCCAACACCCAAAAATTTATAACAATTATATTCTTTAAATAAGATATTTATCCTATTTTATATTGTCAAATATTTAAATACTTGAATCCAAACTTAAATCTTAATCAGCATACCCCACTCCCTCGAGCTTTTATTTGACAAAATTTTTTCACCAAATTAACAGTTAGTTTTTCTTCTTTTTTCTATGAAAACCAATTTATTAGAAAAAAAGAACCGTTCATTTTTTATAAAAATTACGATTTTAAAACGGTTCTAAAAAAATGAAGGTTTTATTTTATGATTTTCACTTAATATAATGATTTTGTTCAAACCCATTTTTCCCCTTCCCCGATGCTCTTTTACCGCAAAAATGTTTTCAAATTACATAACCATTTTTTTGTAATTGTAGAATTCATAATACCTACTGCGCACAACATTTTTTTTAAAAAAATAGCGATCTTACTTTATATTCGGTTTATATTCGATTCCATATAATTAACATTTTTTATTTTATTTAGTTTTCACCGATTTACCTCCACCTCTTGCAATTTTTATTACCACGCCCAAATTTTTTTAAAAAAATAGTATTTTATAAGGTATTTAAATGTTTGTAATTTTTATTTTTTTATGTTTCAAATACTATAATAAAATAAAGTATATAATATAATCAATAATGATATTATTTTATATTTTATTTTGTTGGGTTTTAATTATTTTTTAACCGTATAGAAATTTAGTGTTACAAATTACTTAATTATAATGTATTATTTTTACTATTTCCCTCCATATCCTTACTTCTCCTTTATATACCTTTTGGGGATCAATTTCCCACTTTTTAAAAAAATCGAAATATAATATAAAAAAAATTTAATTGGCTGGAGAATTATGATGTATATTTTAATAAATCTAATTCTCTTTAAAACGAAATTATTGTTTATAAAGCTCAAAATTTAGTTTAAGATGATGGAACTCGAAGGGCTGCCTATCTACTAATTCACCTTAGTTTACTTTTTTGGTAAAATCAAGAAATCAAAACGCCCATAAAGCATATTGATCCTAAACGCGAAGCCGGCCTTAAAATGGTCTGATTTAAACAAATCCGGGCCGGACCTAAAAAATAAAGAAAAATACAAACTCGGGGCCTACTTTTTGACATTGATTAGCCAGTTGAAAAATCGCATGACAATTCATTTAAATATTTATTTGCTTCTCAATTTCCCACTGAAGTCATATGTAGTGTTGTTAATCGGCTTAGCCGAGTCGGCTCGAACAGAGCTAACCCAAATTTTGGGTCGTTTTTTTCAACCTCAACCCTAGTTCAAGCCGAAAAAACGACCTCGACCCAAAATATGGGTCGTATTTTTCGACTCAGACTTAAAGTTTGGGTCGTTTTTTCGACTCAGACTTGAAGCTTGGTTGTTTTTTTCGACTCAGACTTGAAGTTTATTTTTTTAAAGCCAATGTGTAAAAATATATTTTGCAAACATGTTAAATTAAAATTTCAGTGAAGATGTACCATAGGAAAGTGACAATTGTCTTAATCGTCATTTTTGAACATTTTTCAATTTTTTTAAGACAAATGGGTAAAAATATATTTTGATAAACATGTTAAATTAAAATTTCATTGAAGATGTACCATAGGAAAGTGACAATTGTCATAATCATCATTTTTGAACTTTTTCAATTTTTTTAAGGCAAATGGGTAAAAATTTATTTTGTTGTAAACATGTTAAATTAAAATTTCATTGAATATGTACCTTAGGAAAGTGACAATTGTCATAATCGTCATTTTTGAACTTTTTTCAATTTTTTAAGGCAAATGGGTAAAAATATATTTTGTAAACATGTTAAATTTAAATTTCAGTGAAGATGTACCATAGGAAAGTGACAATTGTCATAATCGTCATTTTTGAACTTTTTCCAATTTTTTAAAGGCAAATGGGTAAAAATATATTTTATAAACATGTTAAATTAAAATTTCATTGAAGATGTACCTTAGGAAAGTGACAATTGTCATAATCGTCATTTTTGAACTTTTTGAATTTTTTTTAGACAAATGGGTAAAAATATATTTTGTAAACATGTTAAATTAAAATTTCATTGAAGATGTACCTTGGGAAAGTGACAATTGTCATAATCGTCATTTTTGAACTTTTTTGAATTTTTTTAGACAAATGGGTAAAAATATATTTTGTAAACATGTTAGGTTTAAATTTCAGTGAAGATGTACCATAAGAAAGTGACAATTGTCATAATCGTCATTTTTGAACTTTTTTCAATTTAATTGAAGCAGATATATAAAAATATATACTGTAAACATCTTCACTGAAATTTTAATTTAACATGTTTACAAAATATATTTTTACCCATTTGCCTTAAAAAAATTGAAAAAAGTTCAAAAATGACGATTATGACAATTGTCATTTTCCTATGGTACATCTTTACTGAAATTTAAATTTAACATGTTAACAAAATATATTTTTACCCATTTGTCTAAAAAAAGTTCAAAAATGACGATTTTGACAATTGTCACTTTCCTATGGTACATCTTCACTGAAATTTAAATTTAACATGTTTACAAAATATATTTTTACCCATTTGCCTTAAAAAAATTGAAAAAAGTTTAAAAATGACTATTATGACAATTGTCACTTTCCTATGGTACATCTTCACTGAAATTTAAATTTAACATGTTTATGTTCTAGGCATATGTTTTTTTATTTATTATTAATAAAATATTATTGATTTTTTTAATGTATAAAATATATTATGGTTTTTTTTTATTGGTTTTAAAAAGAAAATAAAAGTTTGAATTTTGGAAAATAAAAGAGTATCACAAAAGTGGTGCCTCTAATTTAAAAAGATACCTGTATAAAAAAAAATTAATTCGGAACAACAATGACTACTATTACGAAACAGGCCAAAGATTTATAAAAAGGAAAAAGGAAATTCGTAAAAATAAGGTAAAAGTTTATATTTTTGTTGAAATTTTATGTATTATTGTGTATTAGGGATTTTCGTAATAATTTCGATATTGTATATTTTATCATTTAAGTCAGTTAAAATTTTTTTGATAAAGTTATTGATAAGTTTATTATAGAATTAAAGAATTTGAAATTTGAAAATTAAGAGTTTAAATTAAAAATAATTTTAAGGAAATGCTAAATCGCAAAAATATTAAGACCAACAATTATTTTGAGGTCAAAAATGTTGAGCCGTTAAAAATGTATTTTGGAATATTAGTGGTTTTTATATTATGGGTTATAATATATTTTTGGTATAAGAAAAGAAATGGAAATAAAGATATAAATCGAGTAAGAATGTTAGAGCAAGTGGAAAGGGAGAAAAATAAAAAAATTGAAGAATTTAAGAGGAATATTGAAAATTTATTTAATGAAATATATATGGTGAAAAATGAAAATGAAAAAAAGGAAATATTAAAAACAGATATCGTCAGAGATTCTGAAAAAAAGGTATGTGAAATTGATATTAATAAAACAGATTTCGTTAGAGAGTCTGAAAAAAGAGAAAATGGAAAAATTGGAGAAAATGAAAAAAAAAAGGAAAATGAAATTGGAAAAATGGAACATAAAAAAAAGGAGATTAATATTGAAGAAATAAGAAGAGAAATGAGGGAAGAATGGGAAAATGAAAGGAAAGAGATAGAGAAAAAAGAAATGGAAGAAAGGAGGAAAAGGGAAAAAATGGAGTTGATTGAAAGGGAAAAAGAGATGTTGAGAACAGAAATGACAGAAATGAAAATTAAAATAGAAGAATTGGAAAAGAAAAGTGAAGGAAAAGGAGTGTATGGGAATGATGAAAGGGAAAATAAAAAGTGTTATAATTGTGGGAAGTTTGGACATATAAGTAGAGGATGTAATGAAAGGAGAAATCCAAATGTGTTAACTATAATTTGTAAAAGGTGTTGAAATAAAGGGCATAAAACTGAGGAATGTTATGTTCCTACGTATAAATTGGTGAATGAAATTCAAAAAGCTTGTGGAAATTGTGGAAATTTTGGTCATGGTCATGATAAGTGTTTTAAGAATCAACAAGAAGATTCTAAAGCATTTCCGGCGGTAGAATATATAAAAAAAGGGGAAAAAAATATCTATGAAAAAAGGAAAGTCGAAGATGTAACATGTTTCAAGTGTCGTAACATTGGACATTATGCGAGAGATTGTCCGGTCACATGACTATATGGTGGACAGGAATCAATATGTGGGGTTATTACATCGGAAAACCCAGCAGACAAGGGAAAAATTTCATTATTAGGGAATGTACTAAATATTGAAAATAATTTGGGAATTGAAGAAAAGAAAAATAGTAATGAATTAGTGATGAAAAATAAGGGGAATGAGTGGCCCAGGGCGAATATACAAATTTGTGTTATGCCAGTTTCGATGAAAAAAGATATTAATTATGATGAATGTCCGCGCGTGAAAATTAATGTGGGAAATAAGGAAATTATAATGTTGTTAGATACGGGAGCAACTATATCGGTAATGGGGTATAGGGAATTTTCGAATTTATGGCCGAATGAGCGATTAATAAATGATAAAATGATAATTAAGCAGTTAAATGGAACTGTTATTTCGGTTTTGGGAAAAGTGAATTTGCCGGTGCTAATGAATGGGGAAGTGCAGTTCTTGGATTTGTGGATAATAAAAGAAGAGGTGGGTGCGATTTTGGGATGGAATTGGATATCGAAATTTGGATTAGAAAGTAAATTTTTGAATATATTTCAAGGGAAAAAGGATGATAAAAATATTGAAGTATTGGAAACATCTGTAAAGGAGGTGAATATGAAAAATCGGGAAAATGAATTTGTAGAAAATGAAATAGTGGGAATTGAAATTTTAGAAAATGTTAAAGTGGAAAATATGGAAAATGATAATCAGGAAATTTGTGATAATGAAATTAATGGAATTTCGGAAATTGGAATATTAAAAATTGAGGAAATTAAGAATTTGAGAAATGATTTTGAGGAAATTCAGAGAAATGAAATAATTATAAATAAAAAAATGATTCAGGAGGAGCCTGAGTGTATGAATAATAAACAAGTTGTAATATATGATTCTGAGGAAAATATTGATTTGAATGTTGATGATATTTTTGTGGATGTAGAAATGGATAATATTTTGAAAACAAGTGATGAAAATTTTAGTTTTGAGGTAGACAAAAAGTTGATTCCAAGAAAAATGGGATTGGAGGATAGTTATATGAATGGTGATGAAATTTACAAAGAATTGAATTGGGAAAGGGAAAAATTGCTTGTAGCACAAAATTTTCCGGTGAAATTGGTGAGAAAAAAAATAGAAAATGAAAATAACGAGGATTTAGTGTTGTTAAAGAAGGCCATGATTAATTTAAAAGAAAAATATAAAGAAATTTTTGATGAAAAATTGGGACGTTTAGTAGATTATGAAGTAGATATACGTTTGAAAGAAGGATATATTCCACAATATTGTGCTGTTAGGAGGGTACCTTTTGAGTGGAGAGCAGAAATGGAAAAAGAATTGGATAATTGGTTAAGAGATGGAATAATTTGTCCCATTGGATATAGCGAATGGGCGACTCCATTAGTTCCGGTGAGGAAAGCTAATGGCAAGTTAAGGATTTGTGCGGATTTTAGAGTAACTTTAAATCCATGGGTTGTGGAAGTAAAGTATCCGTTACCGAGAATTGAAGAGATTTTAGCGAATTTAAAGGGGGCGAAGTATTTTTCAAAAATAGATTTTTCATGTGCGTATTTGCAATTACCTATGAAAGAATCTACGAGGAAATTGTTGACCATAACGACGTTTAAAGGATTGTTTACGTTTTGTAGATTGCCATTTGGATTAAGTGTTTCGGCACCAATTTTTCAAAGGACAATGGCCGCGGTTTTCCAAGGGTTAGAAGGTGTTTTTTATTATATGGATGATGTATTAATTACGGGAATAACGGTAGAACAACATAATAGAAGGTTGGAAGAGGTTTTTGAACGAATAAAAATTAAAGGATTGCGTGCGAGTAGTGAAAAAAGTGTTATGGGAGTTACCGAAGTGGTATATTTGGGACATAAGATAAATGGAATAGAGGTAAAACCATTGGATAAAAATTTGATAAGTATTGCAAATATGAGAAAGCCGACGAATAAGGCGGAGATTCAATCATTTATGGGAATGGTAAATTATTACCATAGATTTATTGAAGATTTTGCAAGGGTAGCAGCTCCCTTATATGAGTTATTACGGAAAAATGTATCTTTTGAGTGGAAAGATGAACAAGAATTATCGTTTGAATGGTTAAAATTACAAATTAGCAAGGAGCCTATTTTAGTGTGTTTTAACAGTGAATTGGAGGTTATTTTGGCGGTAGATGCATCGAATAAAGGTGTTGGAGGAGCTTTATTGCATTTGATAGAGGGTATAGAGAGACCGGTAATATTTTTTTCGAGGGTGTTCAGAGACGTAGAAACAAGATATTCGGTGATAGAACAAGAGGCTTTGGCAGTTATTTTTGGATTGACAAAATGCAGGGAATATTTGATAGGGAGGAAATTTGTAGTGTACACAGATCATAAACCCTTAATACATCTTTTCAAAAAAGATAATAAGGAGTTAATGATGTCGCCTCGGTTGCAAAGGTGGTTACTGCTGGTAGGAAGTTTTGATTTGGAGTTGAAGTATAGGCAGGGAAAAGAGAATCATTTGCCGGACATTATGTCTAGATTAGAAATCATTGATGAGAAACAAGAGGGGAAAATTGATGAAGAAAATGGAGAGGAAGCTCTTATCAGGATATTAACTAAAGTGTTAAAGGGTAGTCCCACCAAATGGGAGGATATTCAGAGATATACTATGAAGGATAAAGAATTGAATTTGGTAAAATTGTGGATTACTGGGAAAAAACCATGGAGTGTTCAGGGAAAGAAATTTAAAAATGTGGAAGCGGAATTAACTATAGTAGATAAATGTATTATGAGAGGAAATAGAGCGGTTATTCCTCGTAATTTAAGAGGAAAAATTTTAGATGTTTTACATGCGGGTCATCAAGGAATTACGAAAATGAAACAATGGGGACGGGAATATATATGGTGGCCCGGGATGAATGAAGAAATTGATAAATTAGGGGAAAATTGTGAGGTTTGTAATGCCTGTGCTAATATGCCCCCTAGAGATAAAAATAGTAGTTGGCCGAGAACTAAAGAACCTTGGGAAAGAATTCATTTGGACTTTTTCGAGTGGGAAGGGAAAAAATTTGTTTTAATGGTTGATTCGTTTTCGAAGTGGATAGAATTCGTGGAGGTACATGGATTAACCACGGGAATTGTAATAAAATTTTGTAAAAAAATATTTTCGAGATTTGGAATACCGAAAGTTATGGTATCGGATGGAGGTCCAGCATTTGTTAGTATGGGATTTAAAAATTTTTGTATCAATTTAAATGTAAATCATATAGTTGGGAAAAAGGAGTGGTGAAAGAGAATTTGGGGAATAAATTATGTTCAGTAGTAATGGAAAATAAAAGTGTAGAAATGAGACATGGTTATCAATTAAAAAAAAGGGGGAAATAAGTGGAATAGAATAAAAAATATATATATAGAATTTAGAAATATAGAATAGAATAAAAGGTTATATTTAATTTAAATATTTTAAACCATTTTAATTATTAAATTAATTGGGACAGGAATATCTGAGTCGATTTCGATTATTAAAATATTTGTTTGGGTCATTTCGAGTTATGATTATTAAAATATTTGTTCGGGTCATTTCGAATTGTGATTATTAAAATATTTGTTCGGTTCGAGTTATGATTATTAAAATATTTGTTTAAGGATCATAAAAAAAAACTGAGATATAGTTTGGTATATATGTATATATATAATTGAATAGTTAGAAGTATGTAAAGGTAAAAGTAAGAATTGTCTTAGTATATGAGATAATATAACTGAATATGTTGATAATTCGTTTGGTTTAACAAAAATGTATATTGCAAGTCATTTTTTTGGTTTTATTAAATATTTGTTATTAAGTGAAGTGAAGCATATCGTGGTTAATAGTTTTTTTTTCTTGTGTTAAAAAAAAAACAGTTGAGAGATAAAAGGAAAAGTTGAAGAGGGAAATTATTTTATAGTAATGTAAATTGTGTTAACTTTTTAAATTGATAGAATGTTGAGATAAGAAATCAATTTATTTGGTAGAAAGAAGCTAATTTATATATTAACATATGCACCGAGAAATAAAAGAGTTGATAAGAAAAAAATAAATTTAAACAACTTATGGATTATTATTGAAAAAGTGAAATTTATGCAGCAAGAGATAAAAGTTGATTTAAAGAGGTTTGGAAAATATATGTTTTGAAATGAAATAATGAGGGTGGTGAGTGGATTAAAAAATGTTATTTGTTTATCAAATTAATTGTTTATTGTGAAAATAATAATTTAATATGAGTTGGAATGAATAAGAAAAGTTAATGATGTTTAGTAAATAATTTTATTAATTAAAAATTGTTTGATAATATGAATACGTATTACGTTAACTTAAAATCTAGTATCCTGCAGATCAATGAAGCGCAAGCAGGGACTGCTTTAGCCTGTGCATGGACTGAACTGGCAAATAGAAAGGAGGAACTTGGGAGAAATGGTCAGTCACCAAACCAACCAACAATAAATGTGCAACCATCTTTTCATAGATCAAGGATGACGAATGTTCAACAATTATGCAACAAACCCATATTCCGTCTAACTTGCTTTGCTTGTGGAACTGAGGGGCATAAAGCGGCTCAATGTCCCAACAATACATTTGTTATAAACAATAATGATAATAATACAAGTAAATTTGTTAACAATGTGCATTCTGATCATTCTAACCCAATTCTGGATCGATCTACTGCAATCAGAGGAAGGCAAGCACCGTTGACTCTTGTTATGAATAGAAATAAAAGTTTTGGAGTGAGGAAGACGCTGATGAAAAAGACAATATTCACAAGGAAAAAACCCGTCAATGTTCCGTCCAAGATTAATGGAACTGAGGAGTTTCAGCAGGAATTCGCCGATATGGGAATAAATGAAGATAATGAATAAGTAGTTTTTTTTTATATATATAGTAACCTGAGAACGCCTCTTAAAAATAAGGGAGGTGTTCTAGGCATATGTTTTTTTTATTTATTATTAATAAAATATTATTGATTTTTTTAATGTATAAAATAT